TACATTCTATAAAAAATTCTATATACTGACACTGTACTAATGGCACTGGCTGGGTGACAGAGTGATCAAAGGGTTATTAGGGGTGATCAAAGGGTTAACCACTTTACAACCATGCTATAGCCGAGTGATGGCTACAGCACGGTTGTCCAGTTCTGGGAGGGCGTCATATGACGTCCTCCCAGAACGCGCAGCCAGCGGCATGCACCTGGCACAGTCACTGATCACATGACATGGTAAAAGGCCAATCACAGCGGCATTTTACCACGTGATCAGCTGTGTCCAATGACACAGCAGATGACAAAGTAAATACAGTTCCTGGTTATCGGCAGCACTTTCTTCACACTGTCACTGGGTGAGGAAAGTACTGCCGATAACCGGCAAAAGTCACAGAGGACACCCTCACTGATCATCAGGGCACCGCTGATCAGTGCCCTGATCATCAGTGCCCTGATCATCAGTGCTCAGCAGTGCCACCCAGCAGTGCTGCCAGTAAGTGCCCATCGCTGCTTATCAGTGCAGCAGCATCAACGACTCCTCCTCAAGGCCCATCAGTGCAGCCTGTCAGTGCTGCCTATCCGTGCCACCTAATCAGTGCCCATCAGTGCTGCCTATCAGTGCAGCCTCATCAACACACATCAGCGAAGGAGAAAAATTGTCTGTCTCAAAAATTTTAGAATAGAAACAAAGAAAAAAACTTTTTTTTTTTTCAAATGCTTTGCTCTTTTTTGTTTATAGTGCAAAAAACAGCCCCAGTGGCAATTAAATACCACCAATAGAAAGCTCTTTGTGTGAAAAAAATTATAAACATTTCATATATGTACAATGTTGCATGACCCCACAACTGTCATTCAAAGTGCAACAGCATGGAAAGCTGAAAATTGGCCTGGGTACGAAGGGGGTAAAAGTGCCCTGTAGGCAAGTGGATAAATGTGCTAATCTAACTGAATCTTGGCTTCATTCTTCACATGACTGGGCCATTAATATTCCTGGCTATGTTCTCTTTCATAGAGACAGGGTAAATAGAAAAGGTGGCGGTGTCTGCCTCTATGTGAGAAGTGATCTTAGAGCAAGTGTGAAAGAAGACCTAGTTGATGGAGAGTGTGATGAGGCTGAAGCGTTATGGGTGGAACTGCACAAGGGGATGCGTATTACAAAGGTAATCATTGGAGTTTGTTATAGGCCTTCCAGTGTTAATGAGGTGATGGAGACTCAGCTCCTTGCAGAGATCAAAAGGTCTGTAAGGGTTGGGACAGTGATAATAATGGGGGTTTTTAAATACCCAAAATTTGACTGCAGGAACAGTTAAAGGGCAAACATTTTTAAACCTACTACAGGACAATTTTATCACAGTTCATAGAGGTCCCAACTAGGAATGATGCTCTGCTGGACCTGGTAATCTCAAACCATGCAGAGCTTATTACGAATGTCCATATAAAAGAACATCTGGGCAGCAGTGACCATAACATAATTTAATTTATTGTTAACTGTAAACAGCAAGCACATACGGGAAAAATAAAAATGCTCAATTTTAGGAGAGCTAATTTTCCAAGGCTGAGAGCTGCTCTCCAAGATTTAGACTGGGAGAGAATATTGGCATCAATGAACACAACACAGAAATGGGAGTTCTTCAAAAAGACGGTATGTGAATACACTGCAAAATATATTCCCATGGGCAACAAGTTTAAAAGGCTAAAAATTAAACCTATGTGGCTTACGGCCGAAGTTAAAAAAACTATAGATAATCAAAAAAAGAGCTTTTATTAACTATACAAATGAAGGAACCCTATCGTCATTTAAACATTACACAGAATATAACAGAATATGCAAAAAGGAAATAAAGGCCGCAAAAAACAACAATGACAGATTGCAAAAGATAGCAGGACCAACCCCAAAAAATTCTTCAAATATATTAATAGTAAAAAGGTCAGGTCCGAGCATGTAGGCCCTTTACAAAATAATCTAGAGTGGGTGACTGGGGACAAAAGGCAAATTTATTTAATACCTTATTCAGCTCTGTGTATACAAAGGAGCATGGGGGAGCTTTTGTCCATAATGGGCATGGTATTGACACAGGCATACACCCATGGGTCCTTAAAGAATTGAGCTGTGTCCTTTCAAAGCCATTGTTTCTAATTTTTAGGTACTCTATAATGACTGGCATAGTACCACTGGACTGGCGTAAGGCCAATGTGGTGCCAATATTTAAAAAGGGGGCAAAATCTTTACCAAGTAATTATAGACCTGTTAGTTTAACTTCTATAGTTAGGAAGATACTGGAGAGTTTAATAAAAGACCCCATAGATGAGTTCTTGCTGGAACAAAATATTTTAAGCAACAGACAGCATGCATTCATGATAGACAGAAGTCAAAGAAATCTGATTTCTTTTTATGAGGAGGTGAGCAAAACCTTGGACAGAGGGGTGGCGGTGGACGTGGTATACTTGGATTGTGCAAAAGCATTCCACACAGTTCCCCAGACACAGCTAATGTGTAAGGTAAAGTCTACGGACTTGGAAAAATCCGTATGTAAATAGATAAAAAACTGGCTAAAAGATTGTATTTAGAGAGAAGTGGTTAATGATTCATACTCTGAATGGTCTAGGGTTGTTAGTGGTGTACCCTAAGGTTGGGACCCTTACTTTTTAATATATTTATAACAATATAGGGTCTGGGATTATAAATCCCATTTCAGTCTTTGCAGATGACACCAAACTGTGCAGTGGAATAACGTCCTTACAGGATGTCTCCAATTTACAAGCTGACCTCAATTCACTGTTTAATTGGGCAACTATGTGGCAAATGAGGTTTAATGTTGATAAATGTAAGGGGGCTAAGAATATGCATGCATCATACATACTAGGGGGGTACAACTGGGGGAATCAATGGTGGAGAAGGATCTGGTAGATCACAAGCTTAATAATTGCATGCAATGCCAAGCTGCTGTTTCTAATGTGAGCAAAATCCTCTCTTGTATTAAAACATGTACAAACTCCAGAGTGAGAGATATCATTTTACACCTGCACAAATCATTAGTAAGACATCATCTGGAATATGCAGTTCAGTTTTGGGCACCAATTCACAAAAAGAACATTGGGGAACTGGAGAAAGTACAGAGAAAGCCAGCCAAACTGGTAAGAGGCATGGAGGAGCTCAGCTATGAGGAAAAATGAGAGGAAATGAGATTAAGGGAGATATGATCAACATGTATAAATACATCAGTGGTTCATATAGTGAACTCGGTGTAGAATTATCCAACCTGAGGTTATCACAGAGGACAAGGGGGCACTCTTTACGTCTGGAGGAAAAGAAATTTAATCTCCAAACATGGAAAGGTTTCTTCACAGTGAAAGCTGTGAAAATGTGGAATAGACTTCCTCAAGAGTTGGTTCTGGCCAGCTCAATGGATTGCTTAACCTCCCTAGCGGTATTCCCGAGTGTAGCTCGGGGTAAAATGTCAGTGCCAAAAGCGGTAACCTCGAGCTACACTCGGGCTTACCATGCGGCGCTGCATAGGGAGTCCCTGCAGAGCTTACCTTGTCCTTCGCTCCCGCGATGTGTCCCCTGCAGCGTCCCCGGCCATCTCCTCAGGCCGATGCCAGCATCCGGCTTCTGTGTTCCCTGTGACGTCAGGACGTACGGGCGCCGCCGCCAGCGGCAGGAAATTTGAAATTTTTTTAAAAACGTCATTTTTTTTCAAAACAAATTTTTCATGGTAAAACATTGCTGTTTCAACCCATTTCACATACATATTGTCCCTAGTGCTTTGTCCTGTGCCCTGCCTGCATTTTGTCTGTTCTTTCTGCCTGGAAACTGAGAACGTCCATGGCATCCACAAAGTGTCCCTTTAGGTCAAAGCGGGTTTAGATCAGCTAGAGAACAGCGATAGTAAATCAGAACCACTTGCAGAATTGAGTGATAATGATTTGTTGGGAAATTTGTCATCAGACACTGAAAACGATTTTGCGACTTTGCTCAGCAATGTACGAACTTGGCGCTCTATTTCAAATTTCAGTGTTTTCGGTTTAATTAAATTAAATGTATTATTATTATATCATTATTTTTTATGATTATTTATTAAATTATAATTTATGATTTCGTGTTTCAAATTTTATCATACCCAGGATGTTTAATAGACTCTTGTTCGGACAGATTTCAGTGAGTTATTCCTAAAAATTACAGCCTACAATAAAAAAACTACATATTTCCATGCAAAATAATGGTACCGCTTTCAGCACCAAAAATCTGAAATAATCATACTGCTAGGGAGGTTAAAAAAGGCCTGGATTGTTTCTTAGGTACACAGAATATAACTGGTTACTAACGTTTATAGGTAAAGTTGATCCAAGGAATATCTGATTGCCTCTTGGGGAATCAGAAGGAATTTTTTCCCCTGCAGGAGCAAATTGGATCATGCTTTGCTGGGTTTTTTTTTTGCCTTTCTCTGGATCAACTGTAGGTATAGGATTATAACTTTTTTTTTTTTTCTTTTTCATGGTTGAACTGGATCTTAAATTGTAAGCTCCAAGGAGCAGGGCCCTCCTAACCCTCTTGTATTGAACTGTATTGTTGCTGTATTGTCTCCCTGTATTTTGTAAAGCACTAAGCAAACTGTTGGCGCTTTATAAATCGTGTATCATAATAATAATAATAATAATAATAATAATAATGAACTTTTGTCTTTTTTCAGCCAGACTTATGCAGGCCATACATGGTTTGAATTCCGAACGCTTTTTCGTCCGAAAATCGAAAATGACGTTCGCTCGGTAATCCAATAGTGCCATCATTGGTTTCGAAAATCGGTCGACCAAGTCATAAAGTTCATCCCATATAACATGCAAAACCTCTGTTCCTTCCAGGTCATGGCTCATGCGCATATTCTTCGTACGATTTGATCATCATTGAGTTGAAAATCGGTCGCTTTTCACAAATTTTCCAACATGCCTGATCACCAAAAAGGGGAGGAACCACGAAAATCGGCCGGTGCCATTGACCCTCTAACAGAGCAAAAATCGGCCGACATAGTACAGGAGATGACCAGAGACTGCTGACTTACTACAGGAGATGACCAGAGATTTCAGACACACTACAGGAAATGACCAGAGACTGCGGACATAGTACAGGGGATGACCAGAGACTGCGGACATAGTACCACTCTGCAATGCAAAGCTTGCTCGGAACTGTCATGAATGAGTTACCATATTTTTGACTCCATAAGACACACCTGACCATAAAACGTACCTAGGTTTTAGAGGAGGAAAACAAGAAAAAAAAATATTCTAAACCAATGGATTGCAGACATGACTAGAGACTGCGAACATAGTACAGGAGATGACCAGAGATTGCAGACATAGTACAAGGCATGACCAGAGACTGCGGACATAGTACAGGGGATAACTAGAGACTGCGGGGAGCAGAGGGGGGGGCGTGTACCCGAATTTGACAGGTGCCCGCTCCCACTTCTGCAGAGTTGCCCTCCCTCCCCGTCTTCTGGGACACGTGACAGGTCCCAGAAGACTGGCCGCTCACACTCCAGTCTGTGCAGTTTCAGAGGATGAGAAAATTGAACACAGCAGCCGACAGCTCTGATGCCTTCCACCCACCTCCCTTCCACCCATCCACCCCTCCCTTCCACCCACTCCTTCCATCCTTCCACTGACCCCTTCCTTCCACCCACCCCTTCCTTCCTTCACCCCTCTCTTCCACCTCTCCCTTTCGTTCCTTCCACCCACCCACCCTTCCCTTCCTTCCACCCACCCCTCCCTGCCTTCCTTCCACCCCTTCCACCCCTCCCTCCCTTCCACCACCCCTCTCTCCATCCCACCCTTCTTTACCAACCCTCTCTTGATTCCACCCCTCCCTGCCTTCCTTCCTTCCACCCCTCCCTCTCTTCATTCAATCCCTCTCTTCCTTCTACCCCTCATTCTACCCCTTCCTACCATTCCTCTCCACACCTCCCTCCCCTCCCACCCTTCCTTCCAACACCTCCCTCCCACCCTTCCTTCTCATACCTCCCTCCCACCCTTCCTTCTCATACCTCCCTCTCTCCCTTCCTTCCACCCCTTCCTACCTCCCACCCATTCTTTTTGCTTTTATCATACTGTGGCTATTTCTTATCAGCTGATAGTATTCCCCATGCCCTTCCCTGACCATCTCTAGTCCCCTTGATTCCCATCTATTTTTCTCTCCTGCCCCTTCCCTAATGCTAACACAAATCCTCCCCCATTTTTTTATCACTATACAGACCAGGATCCCCTAGTTTCACTCCATTTCTTCTCTACCCATCCCCCCATCTCCTACCCACACCCCTCATTTTCCCCTTGTGTCCATGGTTCCCAGTCTCACCCCACCCCCCAATTTTTTGTAGGGGTTAAGGAGGCAGACAATTGCATGGTCAGGCATCACTGTACCCATATGAGATTTCTATCCCTTTCTTCATAAATATAGAGCTTTCCTTTGGTGGCATTTAATCACCACCATTTTATTTTTGCTAAATAAAAAAAAAATACAGAACAAAAACCCACGTTTTTCTTTGTATCAGTTATAAAATTTTGCAAATACATAATCTCTTCATAAATTTGGGTCAAACTGCATTCTACATTCTGCATTGTGCTATAGAAAACAACCCAAATCAGTGTATATTGTTTACTTTGTAGGAAAGTTAGAGTCCACAAACTAATGCTATATCTGAAAATTGATCATTCCTGATGTACTGACAACCGATCTAATTTCTTGAGGTCCGTAAACACAAGGACAGTACAAATCCCCCCGTTTGCCAGGACAGTACAAATCCCCCAAATGTCAGGACAGTACAAATACCCCCAGCTAAATATAAAGGACAAATATCTAAATATACAGGACCTTTTCAGTTTATTATCAAGTATGGACAACAATGGCAAGAAGTAAAGAATGCCCTACAGAAACATTGGCATATCTTAACAGCTAATTCTATTCTAGCTAATATAGTGGGGGCTAAGCCCCTTCTGGTAGCACATAAAGCCTCCAATCTAAATGATGTACTAGTAAAATCAGAATTCAAGAAACCTTCAATAAATAACTGGATAACTGAACAATCCACAATGACAGGTATGTTCTCCTGTGGGCATTGTCAGATATGCCCCCAAGTGGACAAAACAAGAAACCTTTAAAATACAAATAGAACTAAATCCTATGAAATTTGTAAATTCATTAACGTAGCAATCGTACGTACAGATATGGACGCGGACATCCATTTTGCTGAAGATCCACCATCTTGCGTCATTTTCACTCCAAATCAGTCCCCCTCCCTTTTTGTTGAATTGCATTTGGTCTGTGTGTGTGCTGAGTTCAGGAGTGCACAGAGCACAGCTGGATACGTTTCATGGTTATAAACCCAATTAGCTGGTTCCAGGGTGTCTGTCAGGCTCTTGCCTTGGCCCAGTTGTAAAGCTATAAACCAGTCAGTCACTGGACATGAAAGCATTCCCGAGTGGCAGTAAAACATACATCCCACTTGAAACCACTTTTTCATACAATTTCATAAATCCAAGCAGGAACAAGGTACAATAAATCAAAGCATATATTCAGATAGCTTAGTTTAATACGAGTCATCTGATACCTCACACCCCTAAATAACGTCTACCAGAGAGCAGAAAGCGATATCTCTTTAACCGTCACAGCTAGATATGTCATATTTGATGTCTAGATGTCCAGGATATCATTCTGCATATTAACCTGCCAGTGGCTAGGCTGCTGCATACACCTATGGAAGGTTATTGACCATGGTATAAACTTGGGAGGGATTTGGGTCACAGTCTGAGTCCCCACCTAAACACCCCTCCCCAAATGAGGCGATTGGTTCTCTACTTTAAGGAGATACCCTGCTGGGTTCCTAGAAAACAGGCTGTCATGCCTGGAGAGGAAGATGAAGAGATTCTCCCTTTTAACATCAGGAACCAACTTTGGGAGAAAAGGTACCCTTTTGTTCAGGACACTTGAATCTGCTTAAACCAAGGACTTTGGCAAGTATTCTACCTCCCTAAACTTCTTTCTGTTATCTCTCTGTTGTGTTATTGCTCTCTGTATCTATCTATCTATCTATCTATCTATATTGGCTACATCTTTTTCTGTAAATATTTTTATTGCACCATTTTGACCTTTTTAGTAATAAATCCTATTTTCTGAAAAGTGTTGAACTGTTTCTAAAGCTCTTTTTTGCAACCTAAGAATCCCTGTCTCTGAAGAGTGCTACTGTGTGTTTTAAAACCTCTGGATACATCTGTCTGCGGTGACAGTGTGTATACAGATGCTTATTCAAACATCATTGTGTTACTGCTAAGATTTGTGAGTTTCCTCCTTCTCTGTAAAAAGGTGGTGGTGGCAGTGTGAAGGGTTAATTGCGTAATTAACCTGACCCAGTAACAATCGCTCTCCGGCTGTTAGCACCTAGATTGGGGTCCAGTGAGCTGGAAAATCTTTTTGCAGGGTGTAGCTAAGAGTGGCATTGTTACGCAAGTGGCAGCGCGGTTTTAGATTGGCTAGTCCTTCAGTCAGAAGTTGGTGAGAAGGACTGGGGTCTGACACCGCGCCCGTCACAATTAACTGTTCCAGCTCTTAAGATTATCTATATGATTAACTGTCCCTGTAAAAAGTTTTACATAGGGAAAACTAAAAGACAGTTAAGAACTCGTATAGGTGAACATCTTAGGGATATAAGAAATAAATAGAAGATCAAAGGAAATGGTAGAGAAAATCCCTTGGCCCGCCACTGTAGGGAAGCCCATAATGGTTGAATAGAAGATGTGAAAGTTAAAGGATTTTTTACTCTTAATATCTCTCCAAGAAGAGGAGATTTTGATAAATTGTTATTACAGAAAGAAGAATTTTGGATATACACTCTGGAAACACTTATTCCAAAAGGCTTAAATATCGAATTTAATTTCAAGGTCTTCTTAGACTAATTTAAACAGTTGGATATACACTCTGGAAACACTTATTCCAAAAGGCTTAAATATCAAATTTAATTTCAAGGTCTTCTTAGACTAATTTAAACAGTTGGCCATGTCTGTATTGTCAATGTTTTATCAGCAAGGTGGATAGGTCACTTATATTGCCACCTTGTTAATTTTATATATAGCTATGATGACATTAAGTCACTAGGAGGCACTGTGCTATATCCTTAATTAGAATACAGGGTATTTAAATAGTTCCCACTGACTCCTCTTTATTCTGAAGAAGTTTGCACTGATTGGTGGACGAAACACGTCAATGTAACGTACTGACGTCCTCACACCCGGAAGCAGCAATCCACGTGGTCGACAACTTTGACTGGCGAGAGTTGTTTCAGATGCTGGGTCACTCGATATGCTTCCCGGCTTATCTGGAGTAGTGTACACTATTCAATCTTTAACATGAAGCCTGATTTTTGCCCCATTGGGGACCATGCTAAACCCATCATAAAGCCTCAGAGCTACAGCACATGGAGAGCTTAAAGTCCGGAGTTACTGTGGCGTCTCGGTGATCTGATGGTGGTGAGTCCGGTGAATATCCACCTATCCATTTACAACCACATGCTGACATATATCTCACCTGAAGTTATATCTGCTGTCTCTCCTTCCAATTAAATGCTCTTTTTGGCCTTCTTGGAGAACTACACTTCTGTATGGGGCAATACGGCACATATCCATGCGGTTTCATTCCATGATTATGGTTATGCTGTCACTGGATATATTTTTGCTCTCATTGTCCAACAATATACATGATTTGAAACCATCTTACATGGGACAGTATGAAATCATTTCAACACTGTATAATTCCATGGTCATAATTTACAATTTCTTATTACGGGACAATTAAATGGCCTAATCCATGAGAATTAAATTATAATTTTCTCCTCCCTACATGTCCAGGATAATTTACATGTCATGACTCATGTCAAGCTAATTGATCTGTATTGCTTTGTGATAGCTTAGAATGTACATTATATCATTATTCTTGACTCCAGTTATGACTTGTTTGTTTCGGTATAGTTCCTTTACAGAAGACACCACTGCTGTATAAATCTCATATCAGTCAATTTGATTTTTTCCATAACTAACGCATTGCAATCCGGGGTGCTTAATTTTTACTGTTTTTAATTGTGTTCAGTGTTAACGAATATCACCTTTTTACCCCGCAATGGGATTAATATAAAATATGTGATTTTTACACGTGAGCTATATTGCATGGATGGTCATTACCTACTTTGGTGTCCCCATAATCCAATGACCACCTCAAGGCTTTCAAAGGGCTTATTTCCTCATATCACTTCCTCACTACCTATCACAGATTCGGAGGCCCTAAAATGCCAGGTTAGTACAAACACCTCCCCTTAGCATTACATCTTGGAGTGTCTATTTTCTAAAAAGGGATCATTGGGGGGGGGGGGGGGGGGATGTTT